TTATTAACAGGTGTACTATAATTTATCTACCCAGTCCTCTGTTAATAATAATTCTCTTTCTTTTAATAGGTAAGTTCAGCACATTTACATTTATTGGGATGATTAAAATATTTGGTCTTTGTTCTATTTTTTAAAAATTATTTTTATTAATTTATTTTTGTTACAAATGTTTTTCCTTTTTCCCCCATTGACACCCTCCTCCCCATTCCCCCGCCCCATTCCTAGTTTTGTTGTCTATGCCCAACATAGACAACAATGCATGCATATAAGTTCTGTGGTTTATCTCTCCCCCCCCACCAACCCCTCTTCTGAGGTTTGTCAGTCTGTACCCTACCTCTGTGTCTCTGGGTCACTTTTATTTATCAGTTTGTTTAGTTCATTATATTCCACAAATAAGTGAGATCATGTGATATTTGTCTTTCTCTGCTTGGCTTGTTTTGCTTAGCATAATACTCTCCAGGACCCTCCATTTCGTCTCAAAGGATAAGAGATCTTTCATTCTTACAGCTAAATTGTATTCCATTGTATATATGTACCACAGCTTTTTTTTTTATCCTCACCTGAGGACATTTTTGCATTTATCTTCAGATAGAGCAGGAAGGAGAGGGGGAGGAAGAGAAACACTGATATGAGAGAGACACATCGAGTGGTTGCCACCAACACGACCCCAACCTGGGCAAGAACAAACTGCAACCGAGGTACGTGCCCTTAGTGGGAAGCGAACCTGGGTCTCTCTGGTCCGTGGGCCAACGCTCTAACCGCTGAGCTAAACCTGCCAGGGCTGTACCACAGCTTTTTTATCCACTCATCTACTGATGGACACTTGGGGTCTAAGTTCTATTTTTAATATTTTCTTTAAAAAATCTTTCACTCACAGATCTCTTACAGCCTTTGAGATGACATGGAGGGACCTGGAGAATATTTTGCTAAGCAAAATAAGCCAGTCAGAGAAAGTACCACATGATCTCACTTGTTTGTGGAACATAATGAACAAAATAAGCTTTTGACCAAGAGAGATCCAGAGTCATGGAAGTAAGGAACAGACTGACAAACCTCAGAGGGAGGGGGGGTGGGAGGGATGGGAAGAGATAAACCAAAGAACTTATATGCATATGTGCACAACCAGTCTACACAGACACTAGGCTGGGAAAGGCAGGAGGGGGGGTGGGAACAGGAAGGAGGGGGTCAATGGGGGCAAAGGGGTACATCTCTAATACTTTGAACAATAAAAAAAATCTTTCACTGTAAGGATTATACTTGCTTTGGGAGGTGGGTGTGCATGTGTATATTCTGTTAATTTGGAAGGCTTATCCTTTTATTTTAATGTTTGTGTTTGTAAGTATAACTTTATCGTATTTCTTCAGACAATACCTGTTGACTCCTCCCTACCGTGAGCAATGATGAAATTAGTAGTTATATTTCCTGCCCCTTTCCCACCTGCTTTTATTTGGCTATATTATTTTTCTTGGTTTATTTTATATCTTAAAACATACTTATGCCTCTATTACTTGAGCTATCAGTCTTCAGTATCTTTTGATCCTTGTCAGTAAAAATGAGGAAATAAATGTGTGTACTCATTTGTCCATGTTTACCTCCATCCCACTCTAAAGTTTGCCCATTATTTTTACATTCTCTTCTTTTTTTTTGTTATATAATTTATATATAAATAAATAAATATATAAATAAATTTCATATATATGTGAATATATATATATGATGAAATTAGTAGTTATATTTCCTGCTCCTTTCCCACCTGCTTTTATTTGGATATATATATATATATACACATATATATATATGAAATTTTATTTTTCTTCATTTATTTTTTTGTTAATCCTTATCCTAGGATATATTTAGAGAGAGTAGAAGGGAGAGAGGGAGGCGAGGAGGGAGTGAGAGAGAGAGGGAAAGAGAGAAAGAGAAACATCGATGTGAGAGACACATTGGTTGCCTCCCACACAACTACAGTCAGGGCAGGGATAAACCTGCAACCAAGGTACGTGCCCTTGACTGGGAATCGAACCCGTGACTTTTCAGTCCGCAGGCCAGCATTCTAACTGCTGAGCCAAACTGGCCAGGGCTAAACTTTATTTTTCAATTATAGTTGATATTCAGTATTATTTTATATTAGTTTCAGATGTATAGCATGGTGGTTAGATAATTGTATAACATACAAAGTGTTCCCACTAATATTTCAGATACCCACCTGGCACCTTGCATTGTTATCAGAGTATTATCAATTATATTCCCTATACTGTATTTTATATCCCCATGACTATTTTGTAACTACCAATTTGTACTTCTTAATCCCTTCACCTTTTTGCCTTGTCTCCCAACCCTCTCCCCTCTGTTCATCAGTTTGTTCTCTGTATCTATGTGTTTATTTCTGCTTTGCTAATTCATTAATTTTGTTCTTCAGATTCTGCATATGAATGAAATCATACGGTATTTATCTTTCTCTGTCTGACTTATTTAATTTAGCATATCCTCTAGGTCCATTCATGCTGTTGCAAATGGTAAGATTTCATTTATTTATTTATTTTTTAATCCTCACCCGAGGATATTTTTCCATTTTTTGTACAGATAGAGTGGGAGGGAGAGAGAAGAAGGGAGAGAGAGAGAGAGAAACATCGACATGAAGGGACACATCGAGTGGCTGCCACCCGCACGACCAACCAGGGCCGGGGACAAACTGCAACCGAAGTACGTGCCCTTAGCGGGAACCGAACCCGGGTCTCTCCGGACCGCAGGCCGACGCTCTAACCGCTGAGCCAAACTGGCCAGGGCAAGATTTCATTTATTTTTTATGGCAGAATAATATTCTATTGTGTAAATACCACAACTTTTTTATCCACTTGTCCATTGATGGGTGCCTGGGTTGCTTCCATATCTTAGCTGTAGTAAATAACACAGCAGTGAACACAATGGTGCATATATCTTCTTGAGTTAGTGTTTTGGGTTTCTTCAGATATATTCCCAGAAGTAGAATCACTGGGTCATGAGGCAGTTCCATTTTTAATTTTTTAAAAAATATTTTTTCTTTATTGATTTGAGAGAGAGAGGAAAGGAGAGGGAGAGAGAAATAGAAACATCGATGAGAGAGAACATCTGTTGGCCGCCTCCTATATACCCCCCACTGGGGATTGGACCCACAACTTGGGCATGTGCCCTGACTGAGAATCAAACTGGCGACGCTCAACCAGTGAGCCACACCAACCAGGCCCATTTTTAATTTTTTGAGGAAACTCCATACTGTTTTCCAAAGTGGCTGCACCAGTCTGCATTCCCATCAATAATGCACAACAATTCCCTTTTCTCCACATCCTCAACAGCACTAGTTGTTTGTTAATCTATTGACGATAGCCATTGTAACAGGTGTGAAGTGACATCTCATTGTGGTTTTGATTTACATGTTTGTTTGTTATTAATTTATTTTTGTTAAAAGATGTTTCTTCTTTTTTTCCCCAGACACCCTCCTCCCTATCCCGCATCCCCCACCCCGATTTACATTTCTATGATGTTTAGTGATGTTGAACATCTTTTCATATGTCTATTGGCCATCTGTATGTCCTCTTTGGAGAAGTGTCTGTTCAGGTCCTCTGCCCATTTTTTAATTTGGTATTTTGTTGTTGTTGTTGTTGTTACACTCTCTTGCAACCATAAAGCCTAAAATTTAAGACTTAGACTTCAGGTTAAATTAATCAAATGCTCTCTACCAGTCCTTTTGCTATAGTTTCTACATTTATCTCATTAATTAACGTTTTTCCTCTAGTAGTTTCTTCAGCAAGGAGTCAAGGAAACCATATTCCCTGAATTCTTACACGTGGGAACATGTTGTTTTTTTTTTGTCTCCTTTGTACTTAAACAGTAGTTTGGCTTAAAAGATAATTATTTTTGGGTCACATTTTTGTGTGTGTAAACTATTACAGAAAAATACATGGGACAGTTGTGTGATATGATAACTTGATTGATATCACAACATGAAGATCCCAGAAGTGAGCCCCTCACAAGCCCCCTTGTGTCTGTTCTCCGTCACTTCTCCCTACTTCCCCTGCGTCAACCACATCCTTTCATGTTAATCACGCTTTGCTTTCTTTATGGCATTACCAGTATGGATGCATCCCTAAATAAGAGAAATCATTTTTGCCAATCTTTGAAGTATATGTGCATAGAATCATATAGTGCTTACTCTTTTATCCTTTGCTTCTTTTTTGCTCAACATGTCATTTGTAAGATTCATTTACATTGTTACTTGCAACCCTACTTATATTGATGTTGTTGTATAGTAGTCTATTATATGAACATATAACAGTTTATTTCTCTGTTGATGGACTCTTGGGTTATCTCTACTTTGGAGCAAAAAGGAGCCATAATGCTATGAATAGTTTGGTACATATATGTGTATATTTCTTCTAAGATACAGATTTGGGAGTGAAAATGCTGGGTCTAGACTATGCACATTTCATATTTCCTAGATATAGCCAAACTGTTTTTTGAAGTGGGTTGTATTACTTTATACCCCACCAGCAATGTATGGGAGAGTTCCTTGAGTCACCTACCCTGATATGTACCGTTGCTTCATTGTCTTTGAGACCAGATAATCCTTTGGGGTAGATGATATTTCCATTTTACAGATGAGAAAACAGGTTCAAAGTGGTCAGGTAATTTAGTGCAAGTGTATAGAGGTAGTGGATACCAGTAAGCCCTCTGTCCTCCCCAACGCTGAAGCCCGCCATCTTTCCATGCAGCCTTTTTTGCAGGTAGGCCTTCTTGACATCACATATGTAAGGCACTGAACCTCACCAGGGAAGATGAACATTCTCAAAGACTTTTTTATTTTAAAAAGTAGGTTGCTATCTTTTGGGGCTGGATTGGATATAGTTGTTCTTGGAGGTGACCTGTTTCTCAAAATCCCTTCCAATTTTGTGATGCAGATAATACTCACCCAACATATTTAGTGTCCTGACAGCTTCTTTTTTTTATTTTTTTCTTGCTTTCAGTATCCAGCCTGTGTATGGAGCACAGCACCCTCCTCTGGACCCTCACCTCACCAAAAAGTAAGTCGAGTTGTTTTTCCTTTCATGCGGGTTCTTCTTCCATCACCACCTAACAGTCCCCTACTTTGTTGAAATGACAGTTTCCACTTTGACCTTTTCTACCTTCTCTGCTCTCTTTTGGATCAGAAGATGAATAATTTTGCCTCTGAACAGTCAGTTACTAAGTGGGAAATTAATTCACTTCAAAGATCTTTTTTTTTTCTACCTTGGAAGCAGATACATGTAGGATTTGGTATTGGAGTCTCTGTTCTGGTGAAAAGGTCTTTATTGATTAAATATTGTCTTTAAATTGGATGATTGAGGACATCCTTCGAGTAAGAGATCTGGTTTCCGGGGCTCATTGCTTCTGGATGTAGATAGGTCTGCCACCTTTTCTTCACTTATACTGTGAGAATTAGGGCATACTCTGAGAATTAGTAACGCTAGGGCTGGCTTTCTTCAGGTCCTCTTTCTCTTTGACATGCTTAAGGAAACTCAGCCACACAATAGAATTAAAAACTTCCTAGAGGCTATTTCTCTAGTAAAAGTCTAATAAATTATTTTCTCTTTTCTTTTATTTTTTATCCTCACCCGAGGACATTTTTTGCATTTATCTTCAGATAGAGAGGGAGGGAGGAAGAGAGAGAGAAACATTGGCGTGAGAGAGACACATCAAATGGTTGCCACCCACACTGGGGACAAACTGCAACCGAGGTACGTGCCCTTAGCAGGAACCAAACCCGGGACACTAGATCACGTGCCAACACTATAACCACTGAGCCAAACCAGCCAGGGCTCTAATAAATTATTTTCAAACACAACAGAGACCCAGCTAAATCCTGAATATGTGGATGTGTATCCATACCCCAGTTATCACTTTATTACAACTTACTTTAATGAGCCATCACTCTGCTACCACGAGGAGATGGGCAGTCTTCTCAGGTTTTCTAAGAACTTTGGCCTCTATCTTTGGGTATACTTAAACTTAGAGACTTATTTCTATGAAAGCTATAGTTCATAGTGAAAGCTGAATGATTTGAGAGGTGCAGGAGACCTAGGTTCTTATCCTTCTGGGGCCTGTTTAGTAATATCCACACTTTCTGCCTTCACAGTCAGTTGGGGAAGTAAAGATAATGTACATTAAAGTATTTTGAATACCAAGAAAAGTTCTATATCAAATATACATGACCAATATTATTTATTTATTTATATATGAGAGGAAGAGGCGGGGGAGAGACACACTGATGTGAGAGAGAAACATCGATTGGTTCTGCAACCTGGATATGTGCCCTGATTGGGAATCAAACCCGCCACCTTTTGGTGTGTGGAACAACACTCCAACCAATTGACCCACACTGGCCAGGGATGCATTACCAATATTTTAATATTTTTAAAATAATTTAATGTATAGCAAACTTTCTATAATTCTCCCAACTCGTTCTTTTTGCAATTTGGCCGGTATGTAAAAGGTACAGTCTTACTTTGGAAATATGACTGCTGCTCTTTTCTGTAAGATGCACAACTTTTATATCAGAAACCAATAGACTATAAGCTCTTTGAGGGCAGGGGCTTTGTGTTGTTCACCACTGTACCCTTAATACCTGGAACAGCATGCGGCACATGGTAGGCACTGGGTAAAAATTAGGGGATGAAGAGATGTAACCCTTCATTTACTTAGACAGTAGGCTTTTCTTTTATGTTTCTTAGTCTGTACCTTGTAATAGCTCTTCTTAAGGGGAGCACATTTTCTGTGATGTTTCCGTTAAGTAGAATGAATTCTATTTCCTGGTTTTACCAACAGCCCACTACCTGGTCTTTAGTTAGTATAGCAGGCACTGTTGATTACCTACCCAGCAGTCTCTCCTGGTCCTGCTTCTTCCTTACTCAAGAACCATACATTTTTTAAAATATGGTTTTATTGATTTTTTAGAGAGAGAGATAGAAATATCAATGTGAGAAAAAAACATGAATTGGCTGCCTCTTGCACATCCCCTACTGGGGTTTGAGCCCACAACCCTGGCATGTGCCCTGACCAAGAATTGAACCTGTGACCTCTTGGTGCATGGGTAGACACTCAATCCACTGAGCCATACTGGCCGGGCTTTTTCAGCTATTAATAAGGTGACAGTGTATTTAGAGCAGGTATCTGGATTAGTTGAAGCCTTTTACAATAATTCCTTGGTAATCCCAAGGACTGGTCTATGGTGAACTCATCTTATGGACTCTGGCCAATGAGATGGAAGAAAGCCTCCTGAGAGAGGGTTCTTGGGAAATTTTCTTTTTATCAGAGAGATTATTTTGTGAAGAAAGCCTCTTTTTGCCTCTACTCACGTTTCCTGCTTTTGAATGTGGTAGTGTGAAATTGAGATGCTGAAAGCTGTAGCAACTACCTTATAACCTGAGGGAAAGACCAAGAGAATTGCAGAGACACCAACCAGCTCAGTGCCCTGACATCATGGTCTTTATAACTTAAGCATCATAGTTGAGAATTCAGTTCCTTGTAGCCAGTTTTGTCCACAACCAGGATTTCTTGATTGGTAATTCATCCATTCCAGTATACTTTATAATGACCTTTGATAAACACATGGTTTACATATAAATCTGTCTGTCTATCCATACATAAGGCAGTGAGGTATACTATTTCACTTTATGCTTGGGTTAAAGTCACCATACCTTGTCTGTACTTGTCAACAACTGAGTTTTCTCTGATTCTGTTCTTTTGTTTTTTTCAGAGTGGGAGGGAAGAAAGAAGGGGGAGAGAGAGAGAAACATCGACATGAGAGAGGCACATCAACTGGTTGCCTCTCACACTACCCCAATTAGGGCCGGGGTCTAACCACACCGAGACACATGCCCTTGACCAGAATTGAACCCGAAACTCATTGGTCCACAGGCTGACGCTCTAACCATTGAGCGAACTTGCCAAGGCCTCTGTTTCTATTCTTAACACAGGTCTTGAGTAATATCACCATACCCCAAACTGCCAAGATCAGCTTTATATACTCTTATTTTCCCACCTGTTAATGATATAAAACCATGAATATTTTCACTTATTATTCAGCAGTTTCATTTTTTTTTTTTATTAAAAAAATTTTTTTTTTTCTTTATTGATTTTGAGAGAATGAGGAAGGGAAAGAGAGAGAGAGAGAGAGAGAGAGAGAAACATTAATGAGAGAGAACGTCTGTTGGCCACCTCCTGCATACCCCCCACTGAGGATTGGGCCCACAGCCTGGGCATGTCTCTGACTGGGAATCGATCCAGCAACCTCTTGGTGCATGGGCCAATGCTCAACCACTGAACTGCACCAGCCGGGCTCATTGATACTTTCAAATTGTGTTTTCTTCTTTTTATCCTCACCCAAGGACATTTTTGTATTTATCTTCAGATAGAGCGGGAGGGAGAGAGGGGGGAAGAGAGAGAGAGAAACAGGGATATGAGAAAGACACATCGAATGGTCACCTCCCACACGACCCCAACTGGAGCGGGGACAAACTGCAACCAAGGTACGTGCCCTTAGTGGGAAACGAACCCAGGACTCTCTGGTCTGCAGGCCGACGCTCCAACTGCTGAGCCAAACTGGCCAGGGCTATTCATACTTTCGATAGAGGTAATCACTTAGCTCTGCAATTTGTAAGGAATATAATGGTCACCGAATAAATTGTGTCCTTTTATGTACGCAATGGTTTGGTATTATTAGTCTACAACATGGAACAACATCTAGATCTGCACTGGAGCATTTTACAATTCCAGATTGTTACTATTGCCCTTAGTTTAGTACCTTTGTTGGGACATTTTTATTACTTTCCCTATTACATAATAATCGTTCCACTTCAAATGGCCATTAATTGCTGTGTGGTTAATCCCCATCACAGCAGAAGCCTTTACATTGGGTCTTCAGTCATCTAAACTCCATGAACAAGTCAGTTATCCCCATCTGTATATAATGACTTCAATTTGCCAAATTATTACCATCAGTGATAATATTGCCTGCAATAATTTTTATAGCTCAGATAAAACTAGTGTTACTGCAGAGCAGCCCCATTGGCCATTTGATGGCATGACAAGCTTCTAAATTTATTGTTTTGAGTTGATATCCTCATTTCCAAATACAAGGCTGGTTCACACGGAGCCACACTAGCTATTGCAATGACTGGCTTCATTTGACTGTTGGTAAATTCCCCCACTTGCTTTGCATCTCTTACCAATGTCAACCATTATTTAACTAAACAAATTTGTATCATATTTCTATTGCGTGAACAGCCATATCAGTAAAACAGTATAGTATTAATCAAATTACAGAATGATTGAACTTTTGTTTTCTAACCAGTATAACCTGTACCACTCCTTTTCAAAATATCTGCAGTTGTTTGTGTTGACATTTAAGAAGTTACTATTCACCAGACAGCTAAGTTTCTCTCAAATGTTTCATTATGTTTTCGTGAGTTTTTAGTTTCACCTGCTCTTCTTGAATCCCTTTTTATTTTTTTTGTTAATCCTCACTGGAGGATATTTTCCCATTGATTTTTAGATAGAGTAGAAAGGAGAAAGAGAGAGAGAGAGAGAGAAACATCAATGTGAGAGAGACACATTAATTGGTTGCCTCCCACCCCAGTAGGGGCCAAGAATTGAACCTGCAACCCAGGTACGTGCCCTTCACTGGGAATCAAACCAGTGACCCTTCGGTCTGAGGGCTGACACTCTAACCACTGAGCAAAACCGGCCAGGACATTGAATCCCTTTTTCTTTACCACTTACTTATTTACAAATAACCTAACCGCTTGAAGCCTTAGTTTCTTCATCCATAAAATAGAAATAATAAGACTCAGCTCACAGAGTTGTTGTGAGGATTAAATGAGTATCTGTGAAAGTGCTTTTAAACTCTAATTTGGCATGCATTTGTGAGGAGGTATGGTGAAGATGTCTATCTGAGGCCACTTTGGTTGTAACTTTGATATAGTTCTGTTTAAATAATCTTGGTTAAACTTCAAGTCACACTGTGGTATTAGTGCACCTTGGGCTA